GTGACCTTGTAACTCACACATTAACATTGTAATATTACCTTGTAACTCACACATTAACATTGTAATATTACCTTGTAACTCACACATTAACATTGTAATATTACCTTGTAACTCACACATTAACATTGTAATATTACCTTGTAACTCACACATTAACATTGTAATATTACCTTGTAACTCAAACATTAACATTGTAATATTACCTTGTAACTCACACATTAACATTGTAATATTGTACCTTGTAACTCACACATTAACATTGTAATATTACCTTGTAACTCAAACATTAACATTGTAATATTACCTTGTAACTCACACATTAACATTGTAATATTACCTTGTAACTCACACATTAACATTGTAATATTACCTTGTAACTCACACATTAACATTATAATATTGCCTTGTAACTCACACATTAACATTGTAATATTACCTTGTAACTCACACATTAACATTGTAATATTACCTTGTAACTCAAACATTAACATTGTAATATTACCTTGTAACTCAAACATTAACATTGTAATATTACCTTGTAACTCACACAATATTAACATTATAATATTACCTTGTAACTCACACATTAACATTGTAATATTACCTTGTAACTCACACAATATTAACATTATAATATTACCTGCTTCTATTTCCCAAGCTCGCTTAATTACGGGTTTAGTTTTAGTAACACGTACGCGTAGTTTAAACGATGGAATGTTATAGCGAGAATCGAGATACACAGATTCTTTTAATTATCCAATTAGCTAATAAATATGGTAACTCTAAACTCACACATTAACATTATACTATTACCTTTAGAGAGCAAGCTAACCACTTAGGTTCAGGATCATAACAATAGTACCGTCTGTACCGGACTTCTAGGGAAGTTGCTAGGGACACACTCAACTAAATAGTCCACAAATCTCCGTAATCTCCACAAATCTCCAGATATCAACAGTGTTACATGGTAATACACAAATTAGCAATATAATATAACCCTGTCACTGACACACGCGTCAATTAAATAAAAACACTGTTATCTTCTCTGTGATTTGATTGTTTATGCTTGTCACTTTCATCTCCAGCTTGACACAATTACAAGCAAATAAACAACTACCGAGTAATGTCACAGCAGTAATATCACAGTAATGTTTGACGTTTCTTGTAGAGAACGTCACATAGTCAGAGAACAGCCACTAGTTGTTTAGTCATAGTGCTGGTATGTGTATTTGTTGTTGAAAGATTGTGTGGTATTTCATGCCCTAGAGTCTTGTGTTTGGTCACATGAATTAGCAGCACTGCAGCAGCAGCTTTCATTTCCTTTTGACGCCTACCGGACCTGCTTTCCTTTTGGAACTCTGTGGAATTTGACACGTTCCTGATTGGCTCGGAGGTAATGTTTTTGTCTTGAAGCACTGTTTTCAGTTCCCCTACTTGACATTACCTCATGGTTTGAATGACGACACTACAACTATAATAATAGAAGTCTTCTGATATTATGCTACTCGTAGTACGGCAACTTATCGTGTGAACTCACTTAAAGTCCTCTGTGTCAGTTGCCTGCTGGAAAATATGCATATTATAATTCTTATTAACGCTGATATTGCATATCCAATCAGATTCCCTCAAAGTAGCAGCGTCTTTGTCCGGCTTCGTATTATAGGATACTGTACTCCCTTACCAAGAATATCTGAGCTTGTACAATTTAAAATATCTCTGCGTGTGTTGTTATCAGGCCTCTGTGTGCAATTTGACGGCTAGTTTGTGTTAATTAAGAGTTTATCTTAATTAAGAGTTTAGTTTATCTTAATTAAGATTTCAGTTTCAGGTCGGGCTTGTTTGTGTTTTCCTTAATCGGTTTTTGGAGACGAGATCTTGTGATTTTGAAAGGATGATTCTGATTCGTGAGTGATTGAATTCGTATTAAAGTATCGGTACTTGTTGCATTTCACTTCTGACTGATTGGTGATGTCAGTAACCAAACAGTGACAACTTGTCACTGTTTGGTTTCTGTACAAATTGGGCGTTTACGGATTTAGATTTTGTCGTGATTCTAACTTGTATAGCTCGTGTAGTCGTGTGGACTCTTCTCTGAAACTCAGACTTGCAATAATTCGAGTTTAAACTGTTCTTACCCCCCAGTTCCATAGCCGGATATTATGCCAAATTATTAGACGGAGATCGTCTACTGATATTTCTCCGGTTTGCAGTTCCACGACCTGATCCGGAGACCATCTACGGTAATTTTGTTGATTCTCACAGGAGGAGAAAAGTGCAAAGAAACTGCCACAAACTGCTACAATCTCCGAGAAATTCCCGGAGAGCTTCATCTCCGTCTAATACAGTAGACGGAGCCGGAGAATCATCTCCGGAGATGATCTACGGGAAATGGACCTCCGTCTAATAATTTTGCATAATATCCGGCTATGGAACTGGGGGGTTAGCACTCATTTTAATTATGTATGTTCACATTGCATAATGCATATAATCATGTGACTGATTAGAGCCGAGGTTCAGGTGTTTTGTTTAGAGACCCATTATAATGTGAAGTGAGTGTGAGTGTGTAACTCTATATCGAGATCACATCATCATGCCATGTCGTTACCACAGCACTCCAGTATTGTATAGTCCCATTACGTACACATTGATACTCGTTTGTGTGTCACTTCCAGTATGTTAGTTTACAAGTGTTGGCTGTTTGCCAGAATAAACTCAGTTGTGGTTTACTAATGTTGTCCTTGTTAATTAGCTTAGTAGTTAGTTAATTAGTTTGTGTTGCAATAATTGCTCGGATGTTGACCGCACATTCCTATGCATAACTTCGTGTCCGTTCTGAGTATGTACTATGTACACAATGTACTATGTACACAATGTATACTGTATGTGTTATGTATTGAGCGTCCTTGTGTAGCATTTGAATAATGAACACCTAGATAAGACTGATCAGAGTATTGGCTACAGTACAGAGCCCTTGTATGCTGTGTACACTTACTACAGTACAGAGCCCTTGTATGCTGTGTACACTTACTACAGTACAGAGCCCTTGTATGCTGTGTACACTTACTACAGTACAGAGCCCTTGTATGCTGTGTACACTTACTACAGTACAGAGCTCTTGTATGCTGTGTACACTGTACTTTATAATATGTTCCTATGTAATGGTGTGATCCTGCTAACATCATCACTTTCTGCCTGATAATGTAGTTTCAATTTACGTGTACGCTCCTTTTGAACTCTTAATACTTTATACTTTTGCTGTAAAGTTCTTTGTTGTTTTAAATGAATATCCTATTGTTTACTTGCCAATTGTTCGCAATCATCATTACACCTATTAATAATAGCAGGGACCAGTACATTAAGAAGAACGGTGTTGTTGAATTAAGTTGTTTGCTGCTAGTGCTATAGCCTGTTTTTTTCACTTATTTATATCGAAAATGTTAAAACAGCATACATTTTAAAAACGGTTGTTTTATCGCATAAACACATCATGACAAATGTACCCTTTTAAAAATTATCAGTCATACGATAAGGTTGTAGGGCACTGGGCAGTGTATAGTGTTGATTGCAATACCTTTGACACAATTCGCCTTAATCTATAACCCATTAGAATTTGTAGTATTTTAATTGGAGTAAAGTTCAGAGCGCAATATCGGTACGCTGGTTTGTGGACATCTGGTATCAGGACATTTTATAAAATCTGCAATGTTTTTTGTTATACAAAGCACTTAATAGCGTGCTTGGACAATGATATGACACAAAGTAGCCATTACCAAAATTAGTGCTCCATATGTCACGTGATTTTAAGACACTTAAACCTTATTTTCTTCAACTTGCCCACTTACTAAATCTACACAATATCCTCGTGTTGCTACGTCAGGACTGCTAGTACTCAACTTGATTAACATAAACTTGTATCTTTGTATGACTATGATAGCTGAATTGCTGAAGTTTACAAACATTTTAAAACTACCAATTCACTATAAATACTACATTATTACAAACAGAAAACATATAAAATTATAAATAACAAATTAACGCACCACCTCTGAAGACCCATGAAGAATGCAGCTCCACTCCGCTCCCTCCTCTCCAGTCCCCGACTTCCCCCTCATTCTAGAAGAAGCACGTCGTCTCGCTGCATCCTCCCGTAAGAATGTGAAACGCTTCACAAACCAATCCCGGACCTGGTCCTCCACTTCACGTGAGAATGCTAAGAAGTTCACTACATCTTCCCGAGCCAACGCTAGAAGACTTTCGGAAGGTTCCAGAAAGTTGATCAAATCTGCTACCGTGCACATGAAGGGAGATGGAGACAACATTTACATGGTTAAAAGTAAGATTAGAATATCTGTGCTAACTTCCACTCCACAACAAGACATGGAACACTGTTGTTAGAGAGAGTTGGAGAAAAGGGCTCCATTAGATCTAGATGCAAGGAGGAGGATAATGTTAAAATTACTTGATACTCAGTTTGTTATGAACGCTCATTATCTCTTCTTTCCAACGCTGGCCGTGTGTGATTTAAGATTGAGAGTTTGGCAAGCAGCCAGATATTATTAGTTTGTTAATCCTACCTTGTATGAGTTGTGTATGAGGGTTATATTGGGCTATTTTAGGAAGTGATATAGATGCTACAGATTAGGGTCACGCTCGTCGCTCATAATAAAAACAATCTATTTTGGGATCCGATGTGACCTGTATTTTGTTCATGATATTTATTAATTTAGCTGAATAAGTTATCCTGTACATCATTTAAGATTAAATACCGCGTACTGACTCCAGTAAGTGTAAATTAATCCTGAAAATGAAAACATAATCTTACTCAAGCACAAAAAAATGCACCAAAATATAAAATTTCAAATCAATTTCAAAATTTCAATCATTAAACTGAAAATAAAGCAGACCTTACAGAGCACGTGTGATGACGTCACACACACTACGTGCTATTTCACTAAAACACGTGATACAACATAACACCACGTGACAAGCCCCCATTTCAGAACCCCGCGCAATGACAGTGGGCAGTATAAACTCAGCCCCCTACACAGTGTCTGACAGACACAGGGTGTTACAACAGATTCTGGATCATGAGTACCGGTACATCATGTCCCTCAAAGATATCAAAAAGGTTTGATTTTATCATACTAATTATTTTTATGTTTGTCCCGTAATATTGTCGACGAACGTTGCACAAGACTAAGCTATCCTAGCGATTTTAAAGTGTAAGAATTTGGACATGTTCCAGGTTTTTAGTACGGGTTTTGAACCGGTTTCGAAAGATTTATGATCAGAAATGTCCCTCGACCGGTTAGCCTTTGTCGTGGAACCATAACACTAGCACAATAACTGAGAAGCTATAATCAATTTTAGAAAAGTCATCAATCAAAACTAAACTACCTGTACGAACATTGCAACTGTTGTGAGGGTTGCTTGCGGAGATGTGTGTACAAGCTGTTCACTAAAACGTTTCAAACCAAACCGAGAAACGAAACTTTAAGTCTGGAGTTTGCGGCTCATAGCTTAAACGTATAATGATTTGGCAGAGCGGACAGACTATGTAAATTAATGCTGTACTTCAGGAAATGTCCTCCAAGCGTAGCTAGATTTAAATCGGGATCGAATGATTTTATCTTTTTATAGAGAAATAGTCCTGTGATCTGTCTAAAATTTACTGAGATTATGGTTTATTATTTATATGAGTCATAACTAAGTACGCTTGAAATAACTAAGTATGCTTGAAATATTTCAGTAAATGTTATTTAAGTACTAAACGTTAAAGGCAAATTCCAACCCATCCCGGTCACAGCAGTAAAGTTTAATAGTTGTATTATTATTATTAGTTGTTATTGTAATTATCTTAGACTTTAGTTATACTTTACTGATCATATTTTACTTAAATAATGCTTATATTACTCATATTTTACTTAAATAATGCTTATATTACTCATATATTACCAGGTGTACGCTACGCCGCTACAGCACACACAAGCACACAAGTCACTGCTGGACCCTGTAAAAGCGCAGGAGATATTCTTCAGAATTCCCGAAATAAGTTAGTAATAATTATGTAACATTATTACATAGTAAGATAATAGTAAGTAATAATTATTGCTATTTTAGTGCCTGCTAAAATGCAAAGTTAACTGCTTCGTTACTCTGCAAAGTTCTCGCATTCCATTAACACACTGGGTGCAACTTTTAAAATCTTAAACTTTTAAAATCATCAATATTTAGCCTTGATTATGACTTCTAGCATAAATATCAATGTAAATCTAATTCATTGTCATTGTGTGACGTCGTCAAAAGCGTATTTTAAAATTTTAAACAATAAAATGTGCATAATAATTTGTGATAATATGTGATAATATGTGATAATATGTGATAATATGTGATAAAATGTGAATAAAATGTGCATACCTCAGCTGTGCACCACGAGTTTTTCTACGAGCAGCTGAGAAGGAGAAGTATGACCTGGTCACGACATCAGCTCCTTGGAGATATCCTCCTGCAATTGGTAAATGTTTCTGCTTTCTGAGGGTTTTACCTCAGGTAACATCAAAATAGACTAAATTCCTTGTCAGTGGTGACATTATGACGTCACTTTCCAGTTTCCACATTATGACGTCACGTTCCACATTATGACGTCACCAACAACACCTCTTCAGTTCCACAAGCCAGGCTTGTTCAGCGCATATGCCTCCTATATAGACAACTTTAACCACACCCTGGAGATCGTACGTGACACACGAACTACTAGACCTGCCTTCTCTAAACTTCTGGATGTGAGTTTTACTTACGATATTATGATAAATTCACCAAATTGTTGTGATGAATTCACCAAATTTTTAATATAAATTCTCCAAGAAGCCAAGATGCAGTCAAGTGATGAGTTGAATTTCACTTGCTCTTAGTATAGCGCTTTCACCTCAAACTATTTGTTATAATAATATTATAGTCATGTTGAAAGTACTATTAAAATACACATGTGAGTAGTAAGAATGAACTCCCAATGCAGAGGCACATATTAGGTGCGGTAAAAAAATCGAAATTATGCGGTACCGCACCCGACTATAAAGGTAAAATGTGCGGTAAGGTGCGGTAAATTTTTACCAATTATGCGGCAAATGTGCGACGATTTTTTCGAAATTTGTGCGGGAATTGTGCGGTTTTCATTTGTATTTTCTGAAGGACTTTGGAAATTCTAAACGTATAACCGCCGCTCTTATCAAAAATAGGTCTGTTTATGTGTTACTGAGGGTGTAGTTCTTTACTAAGTCCATGATTGAACCTATATTGAGATTCAGTTATCTGAGAACAGTGACTTGATCTGGTAGAGATCAGGAGACAGTTATTTGAAGACGCCTCTTGATAGAGTCGATCAGATCCCATGCGTGATCGCAAATATGTGACACGCTTGTTGGCATTGATCGTCAGTACTTGTAAACCATTTGATCCAAGATCCATTAAGCCCACTATAAAGCCAACGCTACAACGAATAGAGCTCATTACCCGATAAAAAGGGCGGCAGGTATGATCGAAATACGGTAACGACGAGGGTTCCATAACGGCCTGGGTCACGGTCCCGAAAGGGCCTGGGTAACGGTCCCGAAAGGGCCTGGGTCATGGACCGTCATGGTCCCGAAAGGGCCTGGGTCACGTGGTAACCGGGTCACGTGGCCTAGGCATGGGTTCCAAAAGGGCCTGGGTCACGGTCCCTAAAGGGCCTGGGTCAGGGTCCCGAAAAGGCCTGGGTCACGTGGTAACTGGGTCACGTGGCCTAGGTATGAGTTCCAAAAGGGCCTGGGTCACGGTCCCGAAAGGGCCTGGGTCAGGGTCCCGAAAGGGCCTGGGTCACGTGGTAACTGGGTCACGTGGCCTAGGTATGAGTTCCAAAAGGGCCTGGGTCACGGTCCCGAAAGGGCCTGAGTCACGGTCCTAAAAGGGCCTGAGTCACGGTCCTAAAAGGGCCCGACTTTTAACATATTTTGGTTTTTACACTCGAAAATCTTAACGCGAAAATTTCAAAATTTTGCGAAATTAAGCGGAAAATGCTAGATTATGCGGAAATATGCAGAAAATTACAAAATGTGCGGAAGTGTGCGGAAAACAATAAATTATGCGGAAATGTGCGGAAAACGGTAAATTGTGCGATCCCGCACCCATCGCACCTAATATGTGCCTCTGTCCCAATGTAATGACATCATTAAACTGATAATCATAACGTCATCATGACGTCACCATGACGTCACGTGACTTATCCTGTACTATCGGTCATGTCACGTGACCGATTATGTAGTAGTAATATACAAGCTAATGACTGGATCACTAGGAGCGTGAGGTCATCATCATATTATGGGATTGTATAACATGATGTAATATATAGAGGAAACTGCCCGTAACACTATCTTATGAATATTGTACCATCTTTACACGTAAGTTCAATAGAATGTGAAATGAAAACAGCTTGGTTAAAATTAAGACAATCAGTGTTGTCTCAATTTAATATCAGCGCAATATTTATATTTATTTTACGATCAATTCATCGGAGCAAAACAATAATATTATGATCTATAATGTATCGGAACATCTAATTTCATCTGCTATTTTTATAATAAATATATTTCTTCTAGCAGTTACAGTGTTTAAAACAGATGTGTTAATGATCACAACACTGCTGATCAACATATTGGTAGGGGTATCACTCTCAATCTGAGCGACTACTGCACTGGACTTACATAATTACATAATTATAATTAATTACATAATTACATCGTGTGTATATTATAACCCTGGCCCTGTCCTACCTGATAAATAGCACCGTGTCTCACCTGATTCAATATAGAGCGTTTATGTAGAGACATTTCAATTAGGCTCAGTAACCGACACTCATTTCCTTGACAAAATTATCTGCAAAACCTGTGCAGGATTGATACCATAATGAGTTGTAAAATACTGGGTGATATCTGGAGTGATTGGGTTTTGCGGTTTCTTCGGTTTTTAGAAAAAATAAGGAAAAAATAACGACTGTAAGGAGTGATAATAATTTCGGAACTTAGCATAGCTATCATGTTCTCCTATGAGAAATTCAATTTTGTATCTTGACTGTACTGTATGAAAATGAGCTATTGCCATCAATTATCTGTAAGTCAATTCCACCACTAACGTATTATATATTATATAGTTGTGTTCATCCCACCACTAACGTATATATAGCTGTGTTCATTGCAGAAGCTCCGCAGCAAGAGTAACCAAATGTCCCTGGAGGACCTTCTCTTCTTACCTGTCGACCACATCCCAGTGGTAAGAGTTCATTCTTTAGATTATTTATTTAGATTATTTATTTAGATTACTTTATTTAGATTACTTTATTTAGATTACATTCTTTAGATTACATTCTTTAGATTACATTCTTCTAGTTTTCTTCCGCTCTTGTCTGTTAGTTTGTCTATAAATTTGTCTGTAAGTTTGTCTGTAAGTTTGTCTGTCAGTTTAACTGTTAAACAGTAAGTCCGTTTGTCCGTCCGTGAACCTTTTTTACATTCGTCCACTTTCCTTGAGCCGGACTAACTTATCTCCAAGTAGATGTAGATGTTACATGTGAACATATCCGCTCGTTCTCCCGGTAATTTATCCGTTTTTCCGGGAGTCTATTTATAAGATCATGTCTTTAGTTAGTCTGGTATTAATAACAGATAAGTACAATATCCGTGACATTTAAATAAACACCCAGTATCTGGAGCTGCTGAAAGAGTTGATAAAACAGACGACACAGGATGACCCTGATTACACTTATCTGTATCTTGCTAAGGATGAGGTTAGTGTACTGGTATTATCTTCCAGACTTGTGCCTCTGTTTCATTTTCAGAACTTGAGGATAATTTCATTTCAGACTCGCAGAATGAAGCGTTGGATCAGATTTAGTTTCCAGCCAATTAGATAATCGCCTAATTACATAATCACCCAAACATCACCAGATTGAGAAACTGATAGAAAAGTTAACAGAAAGGAAAAGACAAGCAGACAAGTCCTTCTCGGTAAAGCTGCTGGAGAAGAAGATAACAGGACTGCCTACTAGTCTCATAGCACCACAACGTTACATTGTCAGCACTGAGAGGATCAGAGAACTGGTTAGTCACTAATTACCAATTACTAGTTTTACTAATTACCAATTAATAATTACTATTTACATATTACCAAGTCTTGATCTTTTGTATGTTGATCTGTTGGAAAATCTTTTATTTCGCTTAAATTTTGCCGTGTTTTAGAACAATAACCTTTCCAACTATTTAAGAAATTTACTTTTCTGTCTAGTAGTTGTGTCTAAAACTTAGTCTGAACAAATCACCTCAATTTTGTCTCATCAAGATCTGCATTTGACTGTCACCTAATTTCTTCTCTTTGTCGCCATGGATACCATCCCGTCGAACATTTTACGACATGGTTTTGCAATTATAAAATCGAGCCGATGACCAATATATTTCTGACCATTTCCACACAAAACATTCCACAATTATTACCATTTTTACATCCCACATTCATTACAATTTTCACATTTTACAATTATTATCATTATCACATATATTTTCACATATTTTCGTATTCCGCAGGACATCATGACGGACAGGTCCGATGAGAGAGTAATGGTAGTGATGTCGGACGTGCTGTTATGCCTGAAACCACTCTCTCGCAACTCCAATAATGTCATGTAAGTGCAAATGTGTGTTAATTTTAAATTGATAACAGTGATAACAGTTTTGTCTTGTAATTTTGTCAATTTTGTCTTGTTATTTCGTCAGTTGTGTCTTGTCAGTTTGTCTGTTCTGTTTAAGTGGGGGTGCTGCTAAGAATGGTTGAATTTGTTAGTATGTTGTCCATTAATACCCTGTTTCTAACTAACTTCCTAGCAATTGGTTTTAACGCAAACCTGACGGTTAGTTTACTTACCTGTGACCAGTATAGACATGCTGTACCGCTCTATATTATATTGATTAGTTTATAACATTGTGTAAGTTCGTGTAAGTCTTTGCTATCCCATGGTATGTGTACATGCTGATATGTTTATCCAATAATTCGTTAATGACAAGCTATATATAATATACTAGCCGACCTCATCACTTCAAGTCAGTTTACCACATAAAACGAGATCTGAGACCGGTAGCTAGTTTCCTGTTCTCATCTGACCAAGTGTGTCAGTCTGATGTATCGGATAATGTGTTTTAGTGACACTTTAGTGACACTTTAGTGACTAAACGAACCAACCATCATATTATGGGATTGTATAACATGATGTAATATATAGAGGAAACTGCCCGTAACACTATCTTATGAATATTGTACCATCTTTACACGTAAGTTCAATAGAATGTGAAATGAAAACAGCTTGGTTAAAATTAAGACAATCAGTGTTGTCTCAATTTAATATCAGCGCAATATTTATATTTATTTTACGATCAATTCATCGGAGCAAAACAATAATATTATGATCTATAATGTATCGGAACATCTAATTTCATCTGCTATTTTTATAATAAATATATTTCTTCTAGCAGTTACAGTGTTTAAAACAGATGTGTTAATGATCACAACACTGCTGATCAACATATTGGTAGTCAGTTTACCACATAAAACGAGATCTGAGACCGGTAGCTAGTTTCCTGTTCTCATCTGACCAAGTGTGTCAGTCTGATGTATCGGATAATGTGTTTTAGTGACGCATCATTAGTGACACTTTAGTGACACTTTAGTGACACTTTAATGACACTTTAGTGACACTTTAGAGCTTTAGTGACACTTTAGTGACACACCAGTGACACTTTAGTGACACTTTAGTGACACTTTAGTGACACTTTAGTGACACTTTAGTGACACTTTAGTGACTAAACGAACAACCAATGTCATGCAGGTTTCAAAAGGTCATCTTTCTGCCTTCAGTAGAAAATGTGCCTCGACCAAGTTATTGGAGGTGAGTGCTGAGTGACCTCTTAATGCCCCCTCTTGATGCCCCCCTCTTAATGCCCCCCTCTTAATGTCCCCCTCTTAATGCCCCCCTCTTAATGCCCCCTCTTAATGCCCCTTCCTCTTAATGCCCCCTCCCTCTTAATGCCCCCCTCCCTCTTAATGCCCCCCCCCCCTCTTAATGCCCCCCTCTTAATGCCCCCTCTTAATGCCCCCCTTAATGCCCCTTCCCCCCTCTAAATGCCCTCCCCCGGCACTTAATGCCCTCCCCAGGCACTTAATGCCCTCCCCCGGCGCCCTCTTAATGCCCCCGGCCCCCCTTAATGCCCCCTTATTGCCCCATTGCCCATTTGCCCCCTTAATGCCCCCCTCTTAATGCCCTCTCCCCTCTTAATACCCTCCCCCGGTCCCCTTTTAATGCACCCCTCTTAATGCCCCCTCTTAATGCTTCCCTTCATGCCCCCTCTCAATACCCCCTCTTAATGCCCCCCTCATTATACCCCCTCTTAATGCCCCCTTTTAATGCCCCCGGCCCCCCTCTTATAACGCTGCACTACATATTATTTTACAACAACAAAAAGAAGTGTATGAAAGCTGTGTATTCTGATATACAACTTATTTTGGTCACCGCTAGGAAATCTTAGTTTGAGCACATCCCACGAGAAATTTCCCTCTTTCTCCTCCTCCCCTCTCTCTCCATGTTCCTCGCTAAATGTACACTTTATTTTGCATCCTTATTATGCGTGGCTATTTCTCTTATTGTATTAAGGTCAATCTTTTTTTAATGTCACCGACAATGACATTTTGATTTGCGATTTTTGTGCGTTACATTTCTGGTTTACCTTGAGTTTCTACTTCTACTTTTTAGGCGATTAAAACTTTGAATTTCTCATTAATTCTCTGGAAATTTTATCGTAAATTAGGGATCACTATAATAGTATAATACCCCCCCCCCCCTCTTTCCTGTCGTTCGATTTCAATTAATTTCATCAGGATGTTTGTTTTGGCAGATTTTTGGCACTGCCTCCCCGAGTCAGCCCTACACACCAACACCAACTACACTTTCCCTAACAAATTCCTCCCTGTCATCGACCAGACCTGCTCATTTCTGGGTGCTGTGATAAACATTTTGTTCATGTTGACTATCTATGTCAGGTGCAGAAGATTGGGAACCACCCCACTGTCTTCCATCTTCTATGCCTGCATCTGCTTAGCCAACCTGGTTGAGTGTGCCAACTGTATCCTGATATTCAAAAGCAGTGAAGTAGGTACGACCGATGGTATCAACTACTACCTCTACATATCATCTGGTATTGAAGACACCATCCACTTCGTTAGAATCGGCTTCTTCCTGCCTGTCTACGTCATTAGGCTCATGTACGTGGTGTTTCCTACCAGGTTCAGTGCTCACAGCAGACCTGTTATTCACTGGGATAAAGTCTACTGTGTCAGCATTTGGATCCTTGGAGCTCTCATCGGAGGGTTTAGAGCTTATGCTAGAATAAAGATCCAGATCCAAGAAGATGAAGGTAAAGGGGATAACGGTGGGGTCATGGAAAAGATATCTTTCGCCTTGGTCCTGATCAACCTGGTATTCCATGGAGCTGGAATGGGAGTGTTCTTTGGAACTATCCTCTACTTGATAAAGATCTACTGCCAATTCCGTCCACGTCCTGTTGATAACCCTGACTGCGAGGAGTGTAATCGACAAGGTTTCCAGGTAATCGACCGAGGAAATGTGATTTTCAGTGCTGTCAACCCAGCGCTGCAACTCCTTACTCTGCTGTTCTTCATTGAGCTGATCTCCCATGTCTATCTGGCCCTTCTTTCGTTCGTGACCATGAAAACCTATTTGTCACATGATTGCTACCCCGAGGTCTTAGTTCAAATCAGGAACTATCTTGGAACCCCCTCTAACTTCATCTACTCCTACCACTGTCTTGGTGTCCTCTATGGTATCACTATCTGCATCATCTTCTTCTCCCAAAACACCATGAAGCAGACCGTCAGGTTTATGTGTAGGGTAGCTGGTCTGTTGGCCAGGTTTTCGGTCACCAAATATAGAGCCAAACAGAGAGGGGAGAGCCAGACGATGCCATCTTTCTACTCTGTGATCGGCCACGAAGACACTATATGAACTATGAGAACTTGTATGATCCTGAATGTTGTACCAATGTTCGTATTGGACACAGCGGTTCATAGACAGTAGATACCTGGAAAATCACGGACTGCTCGTTGAAACCTTATTGAAATTGGATAGGTGACCACAGACCCATACACCAAACACACGAATAATCGATGAAGTGGGGAACTATCAGTTTAATGGTACTTCGGAATGACAGTTCATTGAATATATTATTATGAATCCACATCAACAAGCGAGAGGTTGGTTTTTTTATGGGTACTTTTTCGGCATATTCTGCTCCGATGTATTCGCCAGGTTTGTTCTTTCAGATTATTCATTGAATTTTTAATGAAGACTCGTGATGTTATTTACAGTGTTCACCTATTTTTAATGGCGTTTTGATATGAAAATTATTTTTTGTTACTAATTATTTCTGTACTTTAGCTATTTTTTATTGTTTGCAAAATTTTAAGGATGTTTTGATGACTAAAGTCACTCTTCTTAAATTGAGAATTGATTGTTTCTAGTCATAAAGTCTTTCTTACAAAATATTTATTTTCGATATTTTTAAACTGCTACCTTTTCAACAAGTTTGTTCTCAATCTCAAACCACCTGATTTATCAACAGTTTGTTTTGAAAGACGTTTGGCACTGCCTCCCCGGGTCAGCCCTACACACCAACACAAACTACACATTCCCTAACAAATTCCTCCCTGTCATCGACCATTCCTTCTCTCTTCTGGGGGCCATGATAAACTTATTCCTGCTGTTAGCCATCTACGTCAAACACAAAAGATCTGGGACCATGTCTTCATCCTCCATTTTCTGTGTAAGCCTTTGCTTTGCCAACCTAATTGAGTGTGCAAACTCTATCTTGCTCTATGCAAGCAGCAAATCAGAAGGTAAAATAAATTATCGTCTTTTCATAGCTGCTGGAGTGCAGGATGTAATCCATTCTGTTCAGATTGGATCCATGATGCCTATATTTATCATCAGACTTCTCTTCGTGGTATCACTGAGCAGTCACAGAGAACGTTATGGTAGAAAATGGGAGAAGACTTACTGCTATGTTTTCTGGGCATCTGCAGCGATAATTGGCGGCATCAGGACATACCTCAGGATAGAGCAAAAGAAGGCACGTGGTGATCAGGACATGTTAGGAAACACAATGACTGAAATATCTTTCTGTCTGATTATGGTAAATAGCTTTGTTTCCTTCTTTGGACAGGCAGTATCCTTCACAACAGTATCCTATGTCATGAAGGTATTCCTTAGATATCGACCATCTAAAACTTCACCAGATCCTAATGCAACATGTCCGGCCGTCACTGATAAAGACAATGCTATCTACAATTCCATTAATAGTAAGGGGAAAAGTGGCATTCCGTTGGATTTGAATGTTCACAAGGATTTCTCAACGGAATATGGTAGTTAAGACCCCTACGAACATAATTAGACTTGTTGCCAATTTTGTATCTCAACAGAAACACCACTTTTACCACTTTTTACCACCTTTGTACCACCTGTCTGGTTTGCCAAATATCTTTAGTTGTGAACGTCGTAAAAGGCTGCAAATTAACCTAGAATGTTTATCTTATCAAGGAGTAAAACTTTTGTGTGAAAAA